ATTCTACCAATATTGTGCTACAATTTTAACATTATTCAATTATCCATACTCCGACAAATCACTCCCCCGATACGTTTCCTTTCCCTTTCTTTCTTTTAAACCACAGTAAGAACTTTACTAACTCGTTAACGAAAAAATCACTCCGAAACCGCACGAAAGATTCAACGAATCTATTCGCTGAAGACGAACAATTTCGTGTTTAAAAGAATTTCGGAAGCAGGGACCAAAACGAATATCCTCGGTGTAGAAGCGGATGATCTTCTCTAAAAAGCCAACGACGTGGAGGGTTAATTCCGCAGGAACGGCGAGAAGAGAGGCGACGCCGGTGGATTATCCGTACCCAGGTGAAGAGACGCGGGAGACGCGGAGGAAAAAGAAATGGGAAGCCATTTCCGTCGTGTCCTTATTTAGAGGAGGGACACGTCCGGGGTAAGCAGGGAAACGCCAAAGAAGAGACAGTGTTTCGCCTCGCAAGTTATTGCCTCGGGCCGCGGTGCATATAAATCCACGCTTAGCGTATTGTTTTCCAGATCAGGAGAAAATATATGTGCGTTCCCGCAATACACACCACTGTGCGCGGTCTGTGGGCCGAGCTCGCTGTCGGGGACGAAGTCTGGAAGGAAGGTCGCGCCTTTATACGCGCGCTTACTTTGTGCTGTCCCATGTGGCCGCGAACGAGCAATGAGATTCTTGGATACGAAACCGATGTGTGCACGTGAATGTGTACGTTTGTCGGATAGTTAAACGAAACGTGGCACGGTGGAATGTGCGGCGGGAAGACGTTCGAAGCGCGCCCGGACAAAGTAATCCGACGTAAGGGAAACGTTCCTGTGTGCATGTTACGTGCCGATATTACGGAGAGCACTGGGATCGTGAACCTTGTTGTCTGATAGAATCGATGGATAAAAATTACCATGGAGAGTGTCTACGATATCGCCAGAAAGCTTTGAACTCTGATCGTTTCTTCATAGCCTCGGAATTAACCCCTTGAGTACAGGTTACGCATGAATACAGGGTGGCTTATAGGTCACCACATAAATTTTTATAATAAATTATATTACATGATATTAATGTAAATACTGTATAATAAAACTACGCTAAGATCGGGAACTTTCGATAACCACTATATCGTTGTAGTTCTATGCAGTATAATATTATAGAACATCACAACTCTTAAAATAGTTTTTGCAACTTTAAGAGAAATTCCTATAATACTTGCTAATCGATAAAAACTACACTAATCGCAGAGCGATCTCGCTTAATACGCTTAGATATGAAACCTCGACCACACACAATCCGGACAACCTTCAATACCACGATCTAGCCGCTCTATTACGAATGCAAGCGATTAAAAAGCCTCTTTGCTTTTCATAGTTGATCGAATCGCGATCTGGAAAAATAGAATAATCGAGTTAAATATACTCGTCGTGGAAGACGCAGGAGCGGAATGCTAAAGAGGAACACGATTTAATCCAGCGAGATAACGCGGGTGATAAATGTCACCGTTCGACAGGTTTTTTTCCGTTGCTTCACGGCCGCTCGTTTGCACGCCCACGCGACCAATTCCACCACGAATGGTTCCCGGAGGCGCTCGTAATCCTGAACGCACCTAATCGTCCATGGATATGCATTAATTGCCCACGTGTGTATCATGCGAGGCGTGATTTACCGATCGAAGCGACGGCAGTCAGGTGCGAAAAGAAAACGCGATTATTCGCGCCGGAGTTGAAGTCACGAGCGCTCCGCGATTCAATCGCAAGTGAAATAATTGTGAAATTTCGCGGCCCACGCTCGGCTTCGTCCCTTCCATTCGGCCTGCACGGAGAATGTACGATTCGTGTACGTTTCTGGAGGCTTACGACTTCGATAAGGATATAAACATACGTGCATTGAGGTTTCGCGAGACAGGTTCGGCTTTCGGTGAACGCGCGTGGCTTCTGGGTTAGATTGTTAAAGCGTAGTTTGATTTATAGCGATCTGTAAGGCTAGACTGATTTAAGTATTGATAAATCATTTCTGTATCTAACAAAAGCAATTCCTTAATTTATTAATAGAGTTGTCATTTTGCGTTCCCTGGGTTTTTTCGTATCGGTGTAACAAAGGTAGTTATAAATTTTTACGTATTTAACAATTAATAAAATAGTAAAATAATAAAAGAAAGTAAAATATTATTTCCGAATTTATCAGAAAGTGTTCCGTGCTACGACCGACTTCGATGGATCTCGTATAAACGTTCCTTTTAACCGCACACTTTCACTCGATTGCGATACGAATCGGCTGATTTAATTGAATTTGCTACAATAGACTACGCATACGGGAGAGCACGTGACTCATTTAATTTCCCGCAATTATCGAGAGTCATGGAAGCGGCGCGTTTCACGGTAAATCGATCAGTCGAAAACCTGAAGATTGGTGTCGAAATTTCACGGAGGAGAATTCGCCGAATTTATAGAGCGTAATTTGCCTCCGAGCTACATGGTAATGCGGCTTTAATTACGCGAGATCGAGAAGCCGGACGATCGGTTCAAGATATCTGCTTCCTGTAAAAATGATGATAACCGTGGCATCTAATTATATGCGTGTGCTGAACAGCCTGCGCGATACAAGTTTCGTGGAAAAAGGCAGGTGATTGGTTTGACGGTGCGCAAATGAGCTGAGGATACCGGTGCGTGCACGCTTGTACGAGTTTCTTGGCCGCTTGTTCGAGTTTGCTCAAGCTCCTTACGCCTGGACGAGCGTCGAAAGCGTGAATCGCTTTATTAAGTCTAGAAAGACCATGCCACGACTCGTCCCGTCGAAGACTAGCGATCTCAATGGACGTGACACGTTACAAGATTCGCTGAACAGCGCGGACTTCGTTGTATGTTACGTGTTACTACTGGTTGAACTTCGCGACTCGCGAGCTGACGTCTGTGTTTGTAATTTATAAATATGTATCGCCTAAGTTTTAGTAGTATTGAAATTTTAATGCGTAATCTTCTGTTTTCTTTCTTTAAAGTACGCCATTTGATTTAGTAACATTATAAGGAAAACTTGAATTCCGAGATCGAAAAATTAACAAAGACTTCTTTTTGGTTCAGTTTTTACAGGATTAAAATACCAATGCTAAGAATATACGAACTATATACGGTATTTAAACAGCGTTTACCTCCGTATCCATTTCTTTCTTCTTGTCTTACCTTAGGTTCTCGGTGCGTTTCACGCTCAACTACGTTTCAGTAATTTCAGTGAGATCGAACGTTGCACGAAGCAGGTGCGTGGACGCGTATACTCGAATGACAGGTGGTAATCAATCGGAAGATTTACTCGGCGACGCGATCGATCAGTGCTTCGAATCGCACGAACTTTCCTAATTAGTCGGTGCAAGCTAGGTGGACGCCGCGCGGAATTGCTGGTAGTTACGTAGTGAAACGGTACAATTACCGCATTGACATGTTTGATGATTCGATGTGACTACGTATTTGCAACGATCATTTTAATGTAGACTTACGACGCTCGTCGTAAATCAACGGCCAAGAACACGAATAGATTCTCGAAGAAGTAAGAGGCAAAATTGATTTTTAATCGGAACGCATCGAGTATCTCTAATTTTTGAGGTTATGAAGGTGAAACTAAATGTTCTGGAGATATTTAAAATGATAGCGTTGCTGCATCAATGAAATATAGTTATTTCACATAATGGTAATTAAAATGTGAAATCGAATTTTGAAATTCATACGATCGAGTGTCTAAGAATATCAAGATATTAAATGATCGATTGTTAGATAACCAAAAATCTCAAATAAATTCAATTCTTCCTTTCACACTTTCTGTGATATTTTATAAACATAACGTAACAACGGTATGTGTGTGTGCGCGTGCGTGGTATCATTCGTTTAAAAGTATTACCAAATTAGAAATCAAATTAACACTGTATAACTTACCAAACCTTGACGGAAGCATAGCTTAAACCAGCTTAAACCTGGCAAGCTAATTATTTCCTAGCAGCATATCAAACTGGACATTCGCACGACAGTCACGGAAGTGCACGAACCGAACGAATATACTACATCGTACGAGCAAATGGTACAGCATGTCGAACTTTTCACGTAGGATGTTGGAGATATCCGGTCTGCATAAGAGTGCGCGCGCGCTCACGTTCGTTTCGAAGTGCGTAACACGCTGCCGCGGTTCCCCAGTCTCGCACGTGGGCCGACCTCAAGATATCGGGACAATCATGGATGCGCGGGGTGCCTTCGTGTACTGGGATAACCGACCCAGCTACCGATTTGCCAACGCCGGGCAGGTTTGTAGCCGCATGCGAGCAGGACAAATTCAAATCTTATTGTTGTTTTGTTTCGGAATACCATGACCGTTAGGTCACGGGTATTGTAAGGAGTAATGAACTCCGGCAAAACAATGCCGCCGCTACTTTCAACCGTCAAACGCAGTCGAGTTCAAACTTTCCGACTGTCCGCAGCATAAGCACATACGTGTATACGGAGTCTCTTGACACGCGCGTATTTATTTCGTAAAACTTATTATACCTGGACTTGTGCTTTGTGTCAAAGTAATATCTGTAATAAATTGCTCACAAACATATAGACTGTTATTCGTGATATTTGATAAGATACATCCTCTACAGGTTTATCTCGCACAACCTTATACGACTTCAAGCTGCAAATAAACGACCGAAATTCGACTGCATCACTCGCGCAAGAATAACGTTTTTTCGAAGTTAAAGTGTAATCGCCATGTTAGAAAAGTTAGCGGTTCCGAAACTGCGCATGCGCGGATGGAGGAAATCGAATGGCGAACGTCAGTAGCAATGCGCGGCGTGGGTGAGAATAAGTGTTTTTGAAAGTTTGCGAGAAAGAGTGGGTGAAAGTGATTGCAGTCTCAGGTTTTGTTCAGAGAAGCGAGAGATCTATCTTTTTCAGCTCTACGATTCACCTATCGTAAGTCAAGTTTTATTTCTAATATATTGCTTATGGAGTGTCATAGTGATCGCATGTAACTGTAGCGACACATGAGTTAGAGATCAATTCAAATTATGTTGATGTTTTGCCTCGGAGTATCAAGATCGTTAGGATACACGTAACGTAAGAATAAACAGACTCGGAGCAAAACAATGTTGCCGCTACGTGTAACCGTGTGAACAAAGACGAATTTCAATTTTCCGACTCTCCCCCCAGCGGTATAAATAAGCAGACGCGATCGCGAGGAAATGAGTCACAGTCAGTTGTCGATCAGTTATCAAACAGTTATCAACGAATTATCAGCGATCTAATTAACGAGTCATTAGCGATCCTATTTTACGACTTATACACTGTCTTAGCGAATCGGTTACCATCCTCTACGCATAAACCTCTAAATAACAATTGACAATTCGTATTTCATTAATTGCTCTCAATTTTATAAGAACCAAAACTCGAATAAGCATGAAAGATTATCGTGAACGAAATATGAGATGCAAGCGTACACTTATTAGGATGGTAACAGCATGTAAGAACACGCGGTAAGGTTAAGAACGCGAAATAAATACGACCGCGTCGGTTTGCAGGCGCGCATGCGCAATTTAACCAGTCAGACGGCGGGTCTCTTGGCTGCCTTATCTGCCTAATGAAACGCCTTGCTAACTAGCATTCGTCGTAGCATATGTGCCTTACGTAGATATTGTTATGGCTGTTTTTGTCGATCGCGTTTCAGTTCGTAGTCGGTCTTAAATCCAACTGGATTTACATGACGCGGTTCGTTGACGAGCAGCTTTCTGCTACGATAAAAACAGGGATGCCAAACGCTGAACGCGACTGCGCGCAAGGTCGTGTGCTCGCTGTAAGACGATCGCCACGCGAGGAAGAGAGCGGGCGAGCTCCTTTGCCTTTTCCTTTAACTCGACTCATACTCGCCCGCGGTCTCGTTTTCTTCTTATCGACGAAGAAACAATCCCTGATCACTCAGCCGAACGCGTTTTAGCTGTTACGATTTTTTGCACTATTACGATAGATTTGCGGTTGATTAGGCTACGCGTAGAAAAAGACTAGGTCGTTTCTGCCTTGAGAAAGCCTCGTCTCGTGTCTGGTACTCGAACGAAGGTAAATTAGACGCGGTTACCGCTTAGATAGGTAAATATATTGTTGGTACTGGCAGTATATAGTTGGTGATTTGGTGTCCATGTAAAAACGGTTTCTGGTTAGTGGTTACACGGCTGGTAGTCAAATGCGGTTAACGCAAGGAGAGATTATGCAAGGGATTGTCGTGGTCATGAAGATTCAATAAATATTACACGCAGAATTTCATTTCTCTATAATTTCTTTACTAAATTAATAAACCGAAAATATAATATATTCAATTCAAGAAAAGGCAGAACAATTAATCTTTAAAATTCGTATATATGTTGCTCCCGAAACACTATGCAACTTTCGGACGAGACATTTTTATGAAATTTCAAATATTATAGAAATAGTTCTGAGAGTAAAGTTGAAAGAAAACTGTATAATTATTTAAAGAAAACAGGAAAAATAAATCAGTCGATCGAATAATTTCACATAGGAATAAAACCGCCTTTAGCAGTTCTGGCTTGGTTCTCGTGTTAAATCAACCATAACATTCTCAGCAATTAGCGGGATAGTCAGGAAACAAGAAGTAGAGGCTTATAACAATGCTAGACGTTAAAGAGATTGGGAGCAGCGAACCAACTAACCGATATTCTGCTCGTTGAGTGGCCATAACGTCACGGCGGAAGGTTACGGGTGGCTTCGGCCACGATTCGACGAGCACACAACTCGGCGCGTGTCTAATATCGTTTCGAACCGCGTTACCGTCGCAGTTTGCGGAGAAGCCATTCAGCCGGACGACGAGAGCCAAGCTCTCGCCGAGTGGCGGCGATAGGGAAACGGTGCTCATGGGCCGGGTCGTGCTCCAGCGATCCCACAAATATAAATCATGCGCGGCCGGCTGGCTTCTGTAATTTCCTTCGATTTCCATGCGATCGTGTTCCACGTCATGGCGTTCCTGATTTAATGGAGCCATCTTATCGCGTGGAGAGCGGATAGAACGCGCGCGAAACGAGGCCCGTGCGAATTATTCGCCTCGCGGACGTACCAATTACGGGTTAACCTTTCGTCACCGCGTACGGTACTCCGACGACCACTTCGGAAATACTATCACAGAGGCATCGTGCCAGGTGATAGGTTAAAGGCTTCACCGCCGTTCGGACCTTCCGCAACGCCTCGCCATTCCCTCGGCGTTCTTCTGTTTTACTCCTTCTTTTCCACGCTCGTTACTCGCTCGTCCTTCCGTCCCGCCAGCTGATAGAAACTTAACGAGCCGTCCTTCTGTTCCCTCAACCCCGCGCCCCCGTTCTCATTTTCCCATTTGTTCACGCTCGCAAACCTTTTTCGGTAATCGGCCATTAATTATCGACCACTTGTCTCCTATCGACGTTTGCGATGAGCAACGGATGAGTCTTGTCTCGGTACAGGCTTGCCAAGAATGATGGAGAGGAATGGAATTTTCTGAAAGTGTTGTCAGTACGGTATTGTTAACTGGAGTCCCGTTAATTGAACGAGGGGATGATGGATTAAGGAATTCATGGCAATGTTCTTATTGGAAAATATCAGTGAAGTTTCAGCTTACTTTATTTTTGTAGTATGATTCTAGTTTCTATCAGAGAACATGGTTCATTAATTTGTTGCGTAATCAGTTTGTAGACCCTGCCCTTTCATTCGATTTAATCCTAAATAATGATTAGGTTATCATGAAGTTAGGGAATTTGTCTATTCCATTTAATTTACGCAGCCAACACGTAATTTCATATATTACTGATCTAATTACTATTTGGAGAACTTCTAAATGCACATAGCCATATTAGCATAGTGATAATCAACGTCAACGCGTTATGATTGCCACTAGGAGTAATAAATTAATCACCGACGAAATTGATAATATTCAGTTACGTTTAATAAATTCACAAGGTGTAAAAGAAAAGGTACAAGAATTACGATAACCTAGTAATAGTTTTTGGATTTTATCTGGCGCGCAATTCAACGTCTGACAGTTTGCTAGTCCAGTCTACAGTTCATTTAGTAGTTTCCCATTACTGTAGTAATAATTGCTGAGCATACTTGGAGCCCGACGTGTAAGAATATCTCGCGATTATTCAATGCCATAGTGTGGATTTTGCTTTAAGCAGCGAATAAATACTTGTATTTTTAGCAACTTAAACTGAGTAGGCTTCTCTACGACAGCATTTACATAGTTTGCTTGCGCGTGTTATCTTGTAATCTCCATTATCATTAAAATACTTTTCACGCTTTCAATAATTCTAAATCAACTATGAATTTACGTGATTATTTAAGAAACATTTCATTTTAATAATTTTACTATCTCGCGTTTAAATATTTTACGTAGATACACGATACTTTTAACAAATACAAATTGATTATTTAGAAGGTAAATCAATGTTAATTGAAATGTGTCTGCTTTCTAAGTAGCAATATCGATGATTTCGCCGACAAATTTTTTTTCCTCCAGTGCGTTTGATTTTTACAAAATTGCGTATTACAAACGCAAGCTTACCATGCTCCATTACTTTCACCTTTCTCCAAAGCAAAATTATTTATCTTTCCATCTACGTACGTAGTCTATACTAACTCAACAAACCGCCCATCTCATTATTACTAAACCAACCGAACGTATAGGTAACAGGAAAACCTGAATGGTAAATCCGAATCAACAATGTGGTACTAGAAGCAAAAGGTAGTAGTTCTCTCTGGCAGACTAATAGTATCAATCTTGACGGTAGCTTCCTGTGGGTCCGCACGACATTTGCAAATTAGAATAGGCCTAGCACGCAAAGCGCACGATCGCCCGTGTGTGCACGCGTGCTACGAACTGACGCTCGTATATGAGCCGATGAGCTGTAAGAGGTGGCTGCTTCTGTTCGGAGGCAACTGGCGTGCTCTTAACATAAACGCGCTGCATCATTACGGGACGGTGCGCCCGCGGCGCTCTTTGTACCGGGCGTAATTTCATTGCTATCGGCGTGCATTCGCTCGGACAGAAGAGCGCGGGTCGTCTCGATCCGATATACTGCCGGCGGAAAATCTTTTCATTTTTTTTGCCGCTATTAGTGTTCGCCATTGTGACAGGAATTAACATGTCGCGTGATTCCAGGTTTCGAAAAATGGTAGAACGAAGGTTGAGTGATCTTGTTTCTGGAATTGTGCGCTTCTTACTTTCTGAATGTTCCTTCTACAGGGTGTCATTTTCTACTTATTCTTATGAAATTTAACCCTAAATTTTTATATTGATATTTCAATCAATTTTTGAAAGACACAATTTGAAACGTCAGATAGAGATAATATCAGCTTTCAATTTGCATTCTTAGGTCGTAGAGGATTCGTAAGAGTTTCAATTAAATTTCATAATTTTATCTCACTTCAATTTAAATGATACATTTTATGTTGAAGTTCACATCAATTTCGATTTCATAGACTATCGTCGTCTCAAACCACTCCATAACATATCATATTCCCATGTCTTTATTGCTTCATGTTTATTAAACGTCGTAAAACGAGAAAATGGCGTATTATCCGTGACACTTTAAATGTCCATGATTGGTCTGGTTGACCCGCTGTTCGTGGTAATAAATAGGATTTTAAACGTGGCGAATACAGCAAACACAGGAACGTATGCGGGGGCAAATCAGACATGGAAGTTTTATACAGAGCTGAATGTATTGCGCGATTATCCGTATTTGAGTATCAACTACTGTTCCATTTTTTCTTCCGCTCCGTTGCGCTCGGTGTTATGACACCCGCCGTTAATGAGCACTAACAATCCGGACATTGGATTTAATAGCAATGAGCTAGGGCGACCTACGGTGGCGAACGACCACGTACGATAATTTAGTGGATCGTTAAGCTCGTAGATTTCTTTAATGGCTATAGACTATGGCGACAGTCTATGAATGTCGCCAATAAAATGCTCCGAAATCGATTTCTCTCGAGCGACGGCTTGTCAAAATGTGTGTTACTGTTAGCAGAAATCGTTTGTCAAAAATTTCCTTGTATGTTGTTTATATATTAGACAGAAACGTTTTCGACAAGAGCTTGATAAAAATAGATACTTTTTTATACTTAATTATGTTTACTGACAATGTTTATGTGATAGTTAAAAGTAATAAGAACACTAGCTAGAAATATGAAAAAATGTAGAAAAATAGGGTATTTTGCTGTTTCAAGTATCGACTGTCAAGGGAATGTATAACGGAAGAATGGGAGCAATAATGGTAGGCGGATGTAATATACGTGAAAGTATCTCCATAGATAAGATATATGGTGAATAAAACAAGGGTCGGAAATTTTATTTGATACCGTAATACCGATCTCACGTGCAATTTTGAATAAACAATACCTACGTCAGACAATATTATAGTTGATAATTCTTTGATATATTCGATCATCTGAGACAACCGACCCAATCTCGACTCTTCGGTCGTCCAATTCCGATGCAATTTTTATCTACCTCATCGCGAAGCTTGAAACGATACACCAAAACTTTCGCGATAGTACGATCGAGAAGCAGGAACAAGCCGTTCGTTTTCCCTGAGTTATGCTGGGTAGTGTAAAGTAGAGACAAACGGTCGCACGAGGGAGGAAAAACACAGGGTAGCTGCGAGGGTGGCAGGGAGACAGAGCGAAAAAAGTCGGGGAAGTTCTTTTGATTAATAGCATATAGAAGAGCGAGAGCTCAGTTTTCGGTTATTGAAATGGAGAGAGGGTAGTTGGCGGATGGGTGGTGGTTTGGGTGGGTGGATTG